GTAGCTGCGTGGAGTGACCTTCCGCCGACGGTCGTCCACGCCCCTTCTAGAACCCAGTTCAAAGCACTATTAGACATTTATTTATGCGAATCCTCGCACTGGCAAACATACTGCCCCGCGCTGAGAACATAAAGAGCAGTGCTACACCCTTTTTTTCACTTGTGCCTTTCAGGTGAACGACAGCCACTGACCGACAAGAACAAAACCGACCAGGGAAACTTCGGCAAAAGCCTCGATCCTGTGTATCAATCCGCGAAAACCCGTGACTGAGGCCGGCATCGTCCGTCGATCAGTATCGACAATAGATACTCAATGATGCAATCCGTTCTGACAGTAAGCACGGAGCAGCTGGTACTGCCTTGTGAATTTTCGGGAAAGGCATACAGCCCCTGATTACAGTCTAGCGTGTTTGTTTTACTGCTTCACTTTTCTTTCACTCTCTATTGTCACATCTATGAATAGAAATAAAGATGAATATCAGATCGTAAGTAAAAAGGGAAACTGCTCAACGATATCACTTTCAGTAAATTATCTGCGATTACGAATACACTCCGCTATGCAATTTGTTTTTCATAGATTATTGATAGGGGCATTCCTAGGACAGTATGGAATAATCAATATGGCCTTAATTTTCATACTGTTTTAGAAAAAATGACCGTACCTTGTAGCTGCCTAAGCCTATGCTGCCTACCTGATCGCATGGATAACGAAAGATGAATAAAGAACCCTGCTGTCTAATCTTCTACCGTACGCAAATTCTAGTGATTAAAACGGATATTTCAGGGACACAAATAACGCCCCACGTGTTCCTGCTTGGTGAACCACTTCCAACATGCAAGTTTTCTTCTTAATTCTTGAAGACTTCCGTGTTTCCTGTTTTGCCTCTACTTGTAGCCGGTTACCATGTTTTAACTAACGATTAGGTTTGAACTGCATATCTAATCTCCGAAGAAAATCACTCACGAGCGTAAGTCCCCTAATAATGGTTGGAAGGCTAAAGAAATAGCTTATGCATTTTTAGAATTTTGAAGGGTTTTCAAAAGTTTTGAGAGATCTGCTGTTTATGCTGTGAGAAATTCTAGATTGGTTCTGTAATAGGTTGGACGAGAAGTATGTCAGCGTAGAGGTTGAGTATTTAACCAGGATTATGGTAGGTGGAGGATGGTATTTGGTGAGATTGAGAGAGAGAGAGAGCTGGTTGTTCGTTGACCTAGCATGACCAGCAGGGTTGTCGAACCGGGGGTCGACTTGGTCACCTGGGTCGAAAAGGCCTCCAAGACTACTGGTTGATAGTTTTATGATGATAAATTGGAGGACAAATGCAACGAAACTAATAAAACAGGGCATCTGAAACGGATAGATTTGATTTCTATTAGCACCCGCTTATACTTGCCACGATCGTTCAGCCTATCAGGTAAATGTGCATCTAACCAACTGCTATCAGGATAGCTGGTTTTGAAAGTGAGGTGTTACAGCGTAACCAACAAAAACACACACAGCAGACAGAGATGGCTGGGTAGATTCTTTGGTCCGAGCGCCGCTTTCCAGTAGGAGTGTGAAGTATTCATTGAACAATGTTGACAGCTTCATTTAGCATAAAAAGCCTTTCAGAGGTTCATAATTTCTTAGGAGAAAAGGAGAGAAGCTGTTATTGGTGTCGGTTAATGGAGAATACTCGTTTTATAAGAAGCGTAAAATTTTCTTGTTTTCATTTCTGTGAGATAATGCTTACGTCCAGAACCTTATAAAGTTGTCAAGAGAGCGAGTACGTAAATTCGTCTGCCTGAAGCAATAGTACGTTTAAGTGGGTGATCGCCGTGCCACTATCTCTGTTCTATTTGGGGACTTTGGTCGTGATCACTCCGACACGACTGAGAACGCTTGCAGCTGAGAGGATATTAAAGACCATATAGTTCTTGAGTAAAATTATTGCAGTGCGTTGGGAGTGTAAATCCGGGATTCAGTTGTGGTAGGCTTTTATTACAAAAAGTCGCATGAGGTATTATTTAAGGGCAAACTGTGCATTCAAATTAAGGTTGCATAGGATGACCCGTAAAATAAATAGGATTTTACGGTTACTTTAGGTCTGTGTTCATCTCAGAAGTTAGCTCTGGCCCGAGTGGAATGCGGCACTTTATCTGTGGTTGTTATTGTTTTTGGTAATGGTACTTTGTTGGGAAAATAACCGCTGACTATTTGGATATACTGGCCGAGGTTTTTAAATTTGGCAAAGCAACACATGTAGCAACGATGCGAATAGTGTCTGTGCCATTGAGGCGTATTGCTTGTCCTTTATAGTGCTGTCATCTGTCTTTTAGTATTCAAATATTTCTAAATATCCCTTAGCACAGAGTGGTTCGTCGTCACGTTTTGAAGGTTGATACCTGTCATATCTGACTACTGTCTCGGCTTCGGTTCCTAGTGAAGAAAAAAGACAAAAAAGATGACAAAGAACATAACAACTTCGATGAAACAAGCAAATGCGTGCGAGCACCAAAGTTACAACGACTTCGCGCCATTTAGAAGAGACTTTTCGACATCGATCCAGGCTGTCTAATAGGCGTTTAATGAACACGGATCAACACTGACTGTGCTTCTATAAAATGCCTGAACACCGATTATAGTCGGTCGTGTTTCCGTGGCTCGCTTATACACTCATCAGCTGTTGATGAATTGATTGATTAATGCATTCATGCCAGCTTCCTCACTATGATTCTGATAAAGCCTAGTGGTATTGGGCATTTTGGGGGTATTTTCGGGAATCTAAATTTCCTGAGAGTACCATGCAACAAGAAAAATCTGAGTCTGGTAATGTGCATGGAAGATAAGGTAAGACTCATAGGTCTTTGGTCATCCACTTCCATAATTTGATGAAAAACTTATGTGGGCTCCACAATCCAATAAATAGCTAACCTGTAGCCAAAGGTATTGCTTCATAATTTTTCTATCAGTGCTTTATTAATCACTTAGTTAAACCTTCCTCTCAACTGATTGAACGCCCGAGGTATTGCTAAAGATTCAAATGACTCCTAAAAACCAAGTTGTGGAACGCTTCAAGTGCGTTCATTTGTGAAACCATTGGTCTCGTGTCTTAGCGCTATTTGTGATGCTAATCAAGCAGGCCAATTACGAAAGATAAGACATTCTGAGATAGTAAAGGAAAGGTTTTAGTCGTCCACCGTAAGCTGAATAGCTAAAGCCCCTCATTGCATGTTGTACAAACCTTTGCCTACAGTATTAATTGCTCTCTATCAGGCGTAAAATGCGGCTTATCCTTCTACGCGATAAGTCCACGAACGCAGAGTAGACCTTGAGAATGTGTTTAAGAGGGACAGAGATGTAGCCATATGGAACCCAGCCACAGCCACTAATCCTATTTTAGTATCTTGTGTTCAACTCAACGACTTGGAGGACGGTGTCTGTCGCAACATCCCCAAAGGCCGTTTTATAAAAAGCCTGTCCACTTTCAAAAAAAATGGCAGTCATTTTCTGCCAATTTTTAAAAGAATTTTTAGTTAGATGTTAGCCCAAAAAACTCAAAAATAGTTAAACAAGCAGCAATTCGTCAAACTGGCCAACAAGCCATCAACAAGAAGCTTTTGATATACTACCGATGAATCTCACTGTTGCCTAGAAAATAAAAGTCATCATCCATGCTGAACGATCACTTAAAAATCAATTAAAGTTTATAAATTTTCTATGGTTTATAACATTGAAATGCTTTTTGTATACTGGTAGTAGGTTTATGTTTTAAATAAAATTTTATTAAACAGCAAATTCCTGACTAGCCTTCATCAGTTGTTTAAGTAGACTTTTGCAGTAACATAAAACTTCTTGATTTTATATTATCGTGTCAAACTGGATTCGACCTTTTTCCCAGTATTTGGGGATTTTGCTTTTTCAGTCGTGGTACTTCTGTTTATAAAAAATCCGTGTTAATGTTCTAGTTCGGCAGATGACGTGTCTTGCAAGATAAACTGTCACGTTCAAAATGTTAGAACAGAATTAAATGACTACTATAACATTTTGTCTGATTCATGTACTCGACATATTGTTCCGCAGGTCATGTGACCCTGGAACTGTTTTTAAGCGTGATTTAATTAAGGTAGCAATTTCACGGTGCTTTAGTCTAAGGGTGACAATTGGCTTTGAAGTCACTACCTATAATGCTGTGACCAAGTATAACTAACTAAATTTTAGTGCATTTTTGATAACTTTGTTCATTTCGGGTCAGAGTACAACAAAAGGGTTGATGCAGATTTAAAAGTTTGTAAACTTCATGCTCATATCAATCTTGTCTGAACAAATTTTTGACACAGTCATTTTAGTGAGCTAGTATTATATCTGTTTGAGAGTGCATATCCCCGGGTTTTGCGCCCTACAAACCTGACGTTCAAGGTGAGATCACTCACTATTGCGCTCTGGACGAACCAAACTTCAACGTCTAAACAGCAGAACATATTAACATTTGAGCGATGTGACTGTCACGATGATTTCTAAAGTTCCGGTTATTTTACTTAAGAGAAGGGATAGCTGCAAATAGGAGGAAAGTATTTATTTAAGGATATTGGGCACATCTTCAGCACATATAAAGGTAAGACCTGATACCTCACGATTATTACCAAGATGAACGTTACCGATCACCTTAAATGTTTTGCTGGACCTGTAAAGTACATTCACTTCCCATAGTGAGAGTTTATATGTAGTCTTCTACCCAAAAGTTTGAAGTGATGAATTTTCAAATTTGGAATGTTTCGATACTTTACATCACCATAAAATGTGTGCTTTAGAAATCAGTTTTTTGGGTTATGTCAACAATTAATAATATTCCTGGCAAACGATTCCTCGATTTTGGCATCTTTCGCCATCTGACGGTTACTTCACAAAAGTTGTACTTAGGTGAAGTAGCAAATACACAACGATTCTCGTAAATCTATCTGTGTAAAATAAATGCAGACAAGGCTAGAGAGAAGGTAGGAGGATGAGGTGCGGCTTTTTTGGATCGTGTCTTACATCTGTCCATCATTCCGTCTGATTTTAGGCAAACGATGGGCTAAAATGTTGAGCAGATTTTATTACAAAGCAGCGTTTTGCTGGCAAACATCTCTGGCCCAAAATGACCCTTTTGTTTTGTGCAGTTTTCAGTCAAAAAGGCCGTGTTTTGGTTGGAAATATAGCTTAGAGTGGAAACACGATATTCTTCCAAAAGTTTGGTGAATGCAAAGTTTTAAATAAAAAACAGAGATTAAATATGTTGAAAAAAGTGAAACTAGCCAACTTCTTGGTCAACGGTTGTCCAGCGACGGTGTTTCTTATTTGATGTAATATCTAGTTTCATCATCTATTCCACTGAGTTCCAAACGCCGTTTAACCAAATTGTTTCAATGTCTTTAACTCCAATGACACACAGTGGCTAGGTATTAAGCTCAGATCGAGATTTTTAAGATTTCCTACCATATCTCAAAACATGCTTTATCGTGCAAA